GGAATCTAAATTTAAGTTCCATTTGACTGGATCGGGTCCGGGAATTTGTGATTGGTCATTAAAATCATAAACAGTGATTTGTGCCTAAATAAAACGGAAACATTTTTGTTTTAAAACTGTGACTCGTGAGACATAGATGTCAGATATTTGATTTAATAGATAGTCTTATAAAAGATATAGCAATAGAAGCTCTTAACCACCGAGTAGTTGATAGTTGAACAATACGAGGTGGTTGTTTTCCCTCGTATAATGTTTGAAACAAATCCTTATACCTTAACTGCCTTAAAGAACTATACGAAAACCAATTTCTAATTTCTCTTACCAAAAATTCCAAACTACTTGGCAATTCATCGCATGCATTTGAAGCACATATGTTTAGCGAATGGCAGACACATTTAATTAACTGAAGATGTGGAATTATTTCCTTTAATAATGTAAATAATGATTTATTTTTACCGCATAAATTACTGGCACCATCTGTGCCAATACCTATTAAATTTTGTATGTTTAACTTAGATTTTTCTAAAAATTCTAGAAAAACCGTCTTTAGAATTTCAGAAGTCGCCTTTTCAATTTCAACAAACCCTAGGAAGTCGGTGATTATGTCTAGTTGTACACTACTATAATACCGTACACAAAAGGCCATATATTTATTTGTGCCAATATCTGTGGATTCGTCAAGAATAAGAGAATATGAACTAGCACCTATATCTTCTATCAGTTCATTAAAATATACTGGAGCAATTACATTCATAATTAACATGGAACATTTTGTTCGATGTAGTTCTAAATTCTGGAACTCACTACCACCAATGTTTTTCAATAACTCTCCAAGATGGTCTATGGAACGAATTGCTGAATGATTAGCGATAAACATTGATAATTTTAAATCACGTATTTTTTGTTCATCAGATTTAACAGCAATACCTATACAGTTAAAAACAAAACTATAAATATTCAAAAACCAAGTGACTAACTAACATAAATTAATTGACTAATTAAATATAATATTATGTAAGTACCGAATGAGGCTAAAACGGGCTGTCTTTGAACATCAAAAGAATTGGCTTTATTGATATGTGTTATTGTTTTCGCATGTTTTAAAAGATCAGTTTTATGTGCTTTTAAGGGCACTCTACAGATTTTACAAAACGCTTCACCTTTTCCAGCATAAGCTTCCGATGCACGTTGAAGCCACTCTATAAGAATATAATTTTTTTAAACACCTCTCTCTTGTGACACATTTATAAACATTCATATACATTTATAACTTACTAGAAAAACATGGTAATAATTCCCAATCAGCATTATACTTTTTAGAATATTTCGCATACTTGCCCATGATTTAAAACTATGTAAACATAATAGATAATATGTTATTCTACTGAAAACGGACGACAACAGCAACAGTCAACAACTAACAAATAACTAACCATCACCTGTTATCGGAATATCAATTATTCAATTCGACTATTAAAGTATTAACTATTCCGGTTATTCATTAGTTGTCTTGGATAGTACGATACGACTATAAATAACATAACTAGTAACTACATGCATTGATTTTGTAAATACAACAATATTAAAGTATATCTATTAATAAACAATAATTATTTATTATTATTATTA